TAAAATACCAATAATAATACTGAATATGTTATTGTGTATATTAGTTATTGTGAATCAGGCACTGCAAAATGTTTTGTGCATTTTCCCCATATAATATTAGTGAATATTAGTTATTGTGTATCAGGCACTGCAAAATGTTTTGTGCATTTTCCCCATATAATTCCCACAATATTCCTGGGAGGTAAACATTCTTATTTTTATGTTTTAAAGATAAGAACACTGGGGCGCCTGGGTGGCTCATTCAGTTAAGCGTCCAACTCTTGGTTTCAGCTCAGGTCATGGTTGTACAGTTGTGGGATCAAGCCCCACATCAGGTTCCACACTGGCATGGAGCCTGCTTAAGATTCTGTCTCTCCCTCTCCCTCTGACCCTACCCCACTCATGCATGCTCTCAATCTTTCTCTCTCTCTCCCTTTCTCTCTCTCAATAAATAAATAAGTAAATAATAAAATTTAAAAATAAAGATGAAGAAGCTGAGACCGAGCAATTCTAGGTTCTCTGCACAAGGATGCACAGCTAGAATATGGCAGGGCCTGAATGTACATCAATAAACCAGGCTTTCTGACTTCAGAGTTCATGCTCCTAATTACCATATGTTAAGTCAGAGTTTGATCTGGGAAAGAGAAACCACTCTAGGTATTTTAAGTAGAAACGCACTTAAGATACGGCATTAGTGGCTTCCAAATGCATCAGGAGGGTTAGGGTAGTTATAGGCACGGAGCCACCAGGAAATCGGTAAAAGCCAGAGTTACGGAAAGGTGCTAACAATAACCTCAGATGTCTGCAGCACCTACAGGTGCCAGAATGCCTGGAAGCTACTGACAGCACATCTGCCATCTGCTGAAGCTTATGTACGGCTTTCGCTGACCTGGGAGCGTTAATGGCTTCCATTGCTCTTTAACCTTCCGAACCCTATTCGATGCTTCTCACTGGTGACATCAAACCCAAAACTTCTGCAGGCAGGGAATGTAGTCCCCAGGCCTCTAGCACCTGTGGTACTGGGTAGTGCTTTAAAGGGGAGCTGAGGTGTCAACCAATAGACAACCCAGCGCACTGTGTTATTTTGTCTTGGAGTGTGGGGACTCCTCCTGAGAACTTGAAAGGCAGGATAACCTATAACCTTCTTATTTCCTCCCAGGGGCTGAAGAAAAGGCCAGAAAATAATCTCAGGTGCCCCAGCATTGTCCATGGCTTCTGAAAACAACCACTGAAGAATTCTAAAACACTAACAATAATTCCTTAACTCATTAGTATTGATGGGTTTGTCCCTTGTTTGAGGCATTGAGGAAAACACACCTCTCCCTTGGAAGCTTTCTTATTCAAATGCAAGGGGAGGGGAAAGCTGGAGCCAGAAGAGTTGACAAGCAGCCCTACATAGTGCTTTAATTCTGTTCAGTTAGAGAGATGTGAAGAATTCCGTCCTGTGAATTGGAGATGGTCCCAATGAGAAGGTGATCGTTCACTTGGAGTTGAGGCCGTGGTTTTTAACCCTGACTGAACAGTAAATTCATCCGGGCTGTCTGTCAAAAACACTGATGCCCATGCCCAACCCAAGGCCAGTTAAATCAGATTCTCTGGGGATGAGGCCCATGAATCAGTTTTTTTCTTTCCCCTGTATCTGTCTATTTCACTCATCTTCTAACCCACCTCTTCCCCTCTACCACCAGTTTGTTCTCCATATATAAGTCTAATTTTTTGTCTCTTTTCTTCTTCAGTTGTTTTGTTAAATTTTGCATATGAGTGAAATCATGGTATTTGTCTTTCTCTGTCCAATTTATTTCATTTGCATTATATCCTTTAAATCCATCCATGTTATCACAATGGCAATATACCCTTCTTTTTATGACTAATATTCCACTATATATATATGCACCACATCTTTTCTATCCATTCATCTATCGGTGGACACTTGGATTACTTCCATATCGTAGCTATTGTAAATAATGCTGCAATAAACATAGGGGTGCATGTATCTTTTTGTATTAGTGTTTTCATTTTCTTTAAATAAATACCCAATAGTGAACTTACTAGATCATATGCTAGTTCTATTTTTAATTTTTTGAGGAACCTCCATACTGTTTTCCACAGTGGCTGCACCAGTTTGCATTTCCACCAACAGTTCATGAAGGTTCCTTTTTCTGTACATCCTTGCCGACACCTGTTATTTCTTATCTTTTTGATTCTAGCCTTTCTAACAGGTGTAGAGTAATATCTCATTTTGATTTTGATTTGCATTTCCCTGATGATGAGTGATGTTCAGCATCCTTTCATGTGTCTGTTGGCCCTTTGTGTGTCTTCTTTGAAGAAATGTCTATTCAGGTCTTCTGCCCATTTTTTAATTGGATTATTTGTTTTTTGGTGTTGAGTTGTATAAGTTCTTTATATATTTTGTATATTAACTCCTTATCAGATATATCATTTGCAAATACCTTCTCCCATTCAGTAGGTTGCCTTATGATTTTGTTGATGACTTCCTTCACTGTGCAAAAAGAATCAGTATTTTTTAAAGCACCTAAAGTAACATTAACCACATCATTGAGAAACCCTTACGAGGCTTTGCAATTGCCAGGGTGCTTTCACCTTATTTTCTCATTTGAATCAACTATCATCCCATTTTATTAATGGGTAAACTAAAACTTCAGAATTTAGGTCCAAAACTATTGAAGACATGCAGCGCTTCTGACTCTTGTCCAGGTGTGTGTTATATAGTGGTTCCCAAACTTTGCTATAAATCAGAATCACCTAGGAGGCTTTTAAAAACATGGCTGCCCAGATCACACCCCTGTTACATAAGAATGTGGGGGTGGTATTCTTCAAAGATCCCAAGTGATTCTGATGTGCAGTAAAGTTTAGAAACCACTGTGTTATGCCATACACAGGCAACATGTGAGGTTGGTATCACTTAAAGTGCACTCATTTGCTAATTAGGAGATTATGCTTGGTTCTCTTTTCTAATTCTAACAGTTTATCAGTTCAAATAAATCTCTCAATTAGGGACACTTAGCAGTTAACTTATTAATAACAATAGCCACAAAAATGCAAAAACTGGCATCATGAACCAAAGAACAAATCTTAACCTACTGGATGTGTAACCGTTTTAGGTTCAGTGTGTTCTTATTGTCAAAAGTTATCAATTAAATAAGCTAAACATTAGTTAGCAAACAGAATAGGCAACCAGCTTACTAATCTATTGACAACCAATTAATATTCAACATCACAAACATAAGCCATATATGTGCATATCTCATTTCTCCTCTGGTTAGGTGTAAACATTCCCCTGCAAAGAGGGTTAAATAAAGAAATACCCATCATCGAATCTATGCAGCCAAGAAAACTTTATGTTCCCAGTCAGGGTCCTCTGACCTCTCTTCTGGTATCTACCTGGAAAAGGATCTTATTCTTTCACATGCTGTACTTGAATTTACTCAGCCTTAGAAATTGAATCCTCTAAAACCAAGGACACCAAGTTCAGAAACTAATTTTCTAGAAGTCCTTGTAACAAACAAGGATAGGAATTTTGAAACTGTCTTTGAGGAGAGAGCTTTTCTCTATTAAAGTGCTATTTCTAAAGCCACGGTTGTTTTTTGATAGAAACGATAGAGTCCACACGGCCCTTTTCTCCTGTACTTCTTTCAGGAAGGAGCAATCTTAAAGTCTGATGTGTTCACAGAATGCTTCATTATAACTGTGGCGTACATTGCCCCAAATGGAAAAGATGGAGCATTTTCATACTTTCATGGTCACACGAACCGTGTGAACATCCATGAGATAGATGTTCAAGGAAAACGGGCCCAGCTTTCTATTTCTCCTAGACGGAGAATTCCCTCTGGGCCACTCAGCATCCCGAGCTAGAACTGCAATTCCAAGTGAAAAAAAAAAAAAAAAAAAAAAAAAAACAACCAGCACACTTTTAAAAATATACAACTTAAAAAAAAATCTAGAATTCTTTAACTTTTGGGAGCTGTGTCTTTACTATATCTAAGAGAAGCGGGTATGTCAGAGCAACAAGGGTAGACGTCCCTGGCACAGTCAGCCTTTGACAAGGTGTATTTGCAAAGCTGCCCACTGTTCTGGTTTCCTAGGCCATGGCTCCCAAACACATTGCCCTGAGCATACCCCTCTTGTGGGCCACCTGCTGCTTTGTGCAAGGTTCTGCTTTCCAGTTCTTCTGTGAAGCCAAAAGCTTACATGTAATTAGCATCATCAGAATTAGAAGCAGAATGGGTCACTGAAACATTTAACTGACACAAAATGGACCTCTGGGATTCCAGTCTCCACCAAGGGTAGTCAGTGGGGGCTACACATTCATGATGATTCTAACCAAAACCTTCCCTTTCTCCTCCCTCAGTTCCTTCACATGCTAAGTTACCAGGATCTTTGCCTTCATTGGCTTGTTCCGTGCACCCTGTCAGGTGCAGGCAAGAAGTGTTAGAGACTGACATTTGAAATAGGCAATGGGGGGCTGAGGGCTGAGTGGGGTGGGAAAAACAAAACCTCTAGAGATCTGACCATCCCTCACCTTCTATGAGCCTGCATTGTCCGGTGTAGGAGCCACTAGCCACATGTGGCTAGTGAGCATTTGAACTGTGTATATTATCATTGAAATGATATGTTGGCTTAAATAAAACATACTGTTGGTTGGTTTTACTTGTTTTTCACACCTTTTTTAACATGGCTTTTACAACTTTTTAATTACCCTTTAGGCCCACAGTATACTTCTGTTGAACGGCTTGAATAATGGCTGCTAATGCTTTTAGCTTGAGCAGCTGAGAGTGATCTTGAAAAGGGACACACTAAATATTTAAAATCATCTGCCAGCATATGAATTACTTATCAATGCCTAACGAATTACAGCAAAACTTAGCGGCTTCAAACAACATTTATTACCCTATAGTTTCTGTCAGTCAGGGATCTGAGTGTGGCTCACCTGGGTCCTCTGGCTAAGGACCTCTCACAAAGCAGCACGGGGTCAGTGGGTCTGCAGTCCCCTCAAGGCTTACCTGGGAAAAGACCCACTTCCAAGTTCACTCATGTGGTTGCTGGCAAGATTCAGTTCTTCCTGGGTGGCTGGGCTGAGGACCTTAGTTCTTCCTTGGCTGTTGGCAGCACGTTCCCCTCAGCTCCCTGCCATGGGGATTTCTCCGTACAGCAGCTCACAACCTGGCAGCTTTTTCCATCCAAGCAAGCAGGCATGAAGAGTAAGAGCATGCATGCCAACAAGCAGAGGTCACCTGAACTCGCAAGTGACACCCCATCCCTTTTGCCCTACTCCATTCACTAGAAGCAAGTCACTCGGTGCGGCCACACTCAGGGGAGGGGAGTGCATGAGGACATGAATACCGGGACGTGGGATCATTGGGAGCGTCTTGGAAGCTGCCTACCACAGCCAGATAAAGAGGATCCAGTTGACATTATATTTGTCCACCTCATAGTTGTTCTTAAATGCCGTGTACTTACCCTGATGGGTCTAATGTGCTGCATTCATATTTGCTTGTTGATTCATAAAGAAAACCTGAAATAATAAGAAACTATTATTTCTTATAAGAAACTGTATAAGAAACTATAGACAATGGTGACTTTCAGGGACGAAAGTAAGAAGTAAGAGGATTGGAACAAGGCTGGGAGTGAGACATTTCACTGGACACCTTTTCCTTTTTTAAATTTTTTTTAATGTTTTATTTATTTTTAAGACAGAGAGAGACAGAGCATGAGTGGGGATGGGGCAGAGAGAGAGGGAGACACAGAATCTGAAGTAGGCTCCAGGCTCTGAGCTGTGAGCACTGAGCCCGACGTGGGGCTCAAACCCAGGAACCCGTGAAATCATGACCTGAGCCAAAGTCGGACACTTAACCAACTGAACCACCCAGGCGCCCCTGGACACCTTTTCCTATTTGGAGAGTTCTGAACTATATGTATGTATTACTTTTTTTGTTTTAATTTTTTTTTCAACGTTTATTTATTTCTGGGACAGAGAGAGACAGAGCATGAACGGGGGAGGAGCAGAGAGAGAAGGAGACACAGAATCGGAAACAGGCTCCAGGCTCTGAGCCATCAGCCCAGAGCCTGATGCGGGGCTCGAACTCCCGGACCGTGAGATCGTGACCTGGCCGAAGTCGGATGCTTAACCGACTGCACCACCCAGGCGCCCCTGTATTACTTTTTTTAAAATATCATGAGAGTGAGGGAAATAAATACCTCTGTTCCCCCAAGCACTCTGTGCTTGGCTGTCACCCTTCCTTCATGGGGCAGGATAGAGTCCCTGATTTCAATCTGCCTCCTCTAGGACCTTGAAGCCCCTCAAGTACTCTCTCCTCCTCACAACTTTTCCTGAGCCCCCTGGTCTCCAGAACTCATCCCACCACTGACTGTGATTTTTTTTATTAGTGTTGATTTTCATTTTCCTTTGATTTCCATTTATTCTACATTAACATGCTAGATATGAGATTTCAAAGACATTCATCTCATATCTCACCAGGGTTTAGCAGGTTTTCTAAATGAGGTTGATTTTTTGCGAGAGTCCTAAATCATAGGAAATGAGATACTGGCCCCCAGGGAGGATGGGCCTGTGTAGAAGGTAGCAGGTGGACTCAGCTTGTACATGGGAGAAAAAGACCACTGGAATTTACCATCTGTAAGGAAAGGTAAGGTCACAAACAGAAAAGGTACAATGCACCTTCACCCTCCAACCCAGGATGAGCGTGACAGAATCAGAGAGCTATTTGTGATTTCATTGACAACCAAAACAGTCCCAGGCAGAAGAGGTCCAGGAAGGAAATGTATGTGAACCAACTCTCTATGCATCAACATTGCTTCAAAAGATGTAAATATGAATCCCTGGATAGGAAGATATCAGAGTTGAAAACGCTTGGGTCATCTAGACCACACCCTTTTTCTTACTCCTGATTTCTCCATTTGTTTCCAGACTAAGTTACTTCATTTGTACCTTGGATGCATTAAATCACCAACCCCCAGTGTGAGCCTATCCTAGCCTTCCTGGCTCCCAGTCGACTGGAGTGATATGAGCTAAATTCTTCTGAACAAATGCAGAGGAAAAGTGGTTACCTATTTATGAAAATAAGCCCAGGCAGATGGTAGCACTGACCCTGACAGAGCAGTGGACTTCAGACAGAATGAAATGTGTTTTATAACTTCCTCCCCATGTTCTGAGCAGTAGAGATGATGGCTTGGGGAATACCTGCAGAGGGGTATACTTGCATAACGAGTAGGCTATCGTGCACTGCTAATTGCTAGAATAGATATTTGCATATATGAATATGTTTAATGGGGAGTCATAAACATTTGTCTTTGGCTTTAAATCTCAAATAGGTGGAGACCATAGTAGCACCAGATATAGAAGCAAATCTGAAAATCAAACAGCCCAATTAAAACTCAGATTTTTTAAAAGCCATTGAGATCAAGCAAAATGAAATGAACTTTAAAGGGCTAAAGGATTCAGGTCTGTTAAGGGCCCCAAATGGCAAGTAATTCCGGGGAAATCCTATTAATTAAAAACCACTGCTCTGTGAAATGGCTGCCGTTACATTTGAAGGCAGTTAATGTGCCCGTTTGCAATACCTGTGAAGAAATAGTGGAGCATTAGAAACAGTTGACCATCTGCTAAGGGTAGGCTACTGTTCCTGTTCCCTGGAAAGTGCCGTACCTCAAAAATGTAAGGACTAGCAACAACATAAATTTGTTGCCCAGTTAAAAAATACTACATACATGTGGGAAAGTTGCCACAAATATTAAAGTTGTAGGGGTTTTAAGTTCTCCCTTTTATGAGAGCTCCTGAAGATCCCATCAGAGGAGGCAGTTGGGTTCTGTGAGAACTGTGTGTGCCAGAGCTTCACAACTGCACGCAGTTTGTAAATGGCGAGAGTGATAGTGCCAATGCAAATGTAATAGCCCTGGGAGACAGGGTGCCAGCCCTCCCCCCACTCGCACACGGGCAGAAGAAGGAGTAGAAGGCTGAGAGACCGGATGCCAATCCTGCTGTTGGAGAGGCAGTGTTGCCATTCATCCCTCACTTGTGGAAGAGACCCCCAACACCCACCCGCAGAGGTAGTACTTGGCACACACACGGCAAAGTGGCTTCAGAGCTCCAAAGCCACTCTGTCACACCCTCTCCTGTACGCAGGCCGCCCAAGGCCCCCTCCTGGGGCTCCAAACCTTTTGACCTGTACCAGGTACTCATAGGGTATGGCATAACATACCTGGGACAGTAATTTTAAGATAAGAAACTGTTGTCTAATGCAGTTCCCCAGTGAAAAATAGATGGAATCTTAATCATCAATTGCATGTTTAAAACTCTTGCCCAAGTCCTTTAACATCTCAGTTGTTAGTTACCTGGTTCAGAGGGAAGTCACAAGGGGTACCACCCTGGAGTGCCTCTGACAGCAGTTTGACAGCCCCTCAGGTGTTCAGGGCACTGAGTCCAGGTTTCTGTTTACCTCTGGCCGCACCTCTGCTCCCTGCTCATCCTTCGAAAAGTTTCATTTTATTGTCTGTTTTATTTCAGCATCCCCGTTGTCATCACTTGGTGGCTCCTGCTGAGGGACTCTGGCCATGTGGCTGACCACTGGCCCTCAGAGCAGATCTCCTTGTGCACTGAGGGTGACGGGCATGTTTACTGTCCTCTCTTGCTATGAAGCCACATCCGATCAATCAACCATGGCAGCAATTATACCCTAAAATACATTACTCCTCTAGAGAGCCTCATCTTTTCTTTTCAGAAAAGAAAAATAGTAAGGGGGGAAAAGGTATAAAAAAAGTAGAAAGCTCTATTCTGGTAAGTAGAGCTTAGATTTAAGGCATTATTATAGAAATATCTTTTCTCTCACATTGTTTACCCATGCAAATTCTTTAAATGCTCTAAGGCATATCCCTCAGAGATAAAAGAGGAATATTAGTGAAAATGAACATTTATTGAATGCTTGTTCCATGCCAGGTTCTGTACTAAGCACTGTCCAAGGGTTGTGTAATGATTTCTCCAGAAAACCCGTTAAGGCAGGTATTGGGTCACTCAGCTAGGTGAGTGGCAGCGCTAGGTTTCATCCTGGCAGCCTGACTGTCCCAGCAGCCTGCTGGGACCACCACAGCCTGCTGTCCCAGCAGCGCCCACCTCAGAGGAGTTGCTGTGGGAATGAATGAGGTAACGTAGAAAGTGCTTTTAGCCAGCCTGGCACAAAGATCCATTCAACGCTGAGATCTGCTCCTAATCAAGAGTTCTGGAAGGGGAGGGACTAAGGGAGCATGAAAGGGAGCTGCTTTCTCTCTGGGTGGGCATCATTGGCTGGAAGAAGGCTGGGTGGTGCTCAAATGTAAGGATGCAAGGGTGCGACAGGTGCCCACATGAGCCACCATGACGCCGAAGCACAGGCTTCATGGGCTTATGTGCGTATGATCCATCCCAAACTCTGCCTTCAGCCCTTCAGAACATCAGAAGCTTTGCCTTCCTTTTTTGGAAATGGAGTCGGAGATCCCAAGCCCCTGCCTTTTGGCCTGGCCAACACTTAATTTGGATTTTCTCTCACTTTTGGCTTACGCCTTTGTAGTTGTTTGTTCTTGTTTAATGTACGTATGCCAATCTGTTCCTTTCAGAAATAGACAGATGATAAAAATGTTCTCAAGTGGGTGGGATTAGAGTTGGGGATTGCAACAGTACCATTTGTGTGTTTAGCTGGAGGTAATCCCAGCCTGCAGTCTACCTGCCGCACACAAAACACTGACATTTCTTAGGATCTTGTGGGGGTTACAGCATTTTTCTTCTCTAACCACATTTCATTGTTCAGCTATAACCTCAAATACACACTTTGGCTCCTCTTCCCCAGGTCTGTTTAGCCAGACTTGAAGAACGCAGTGAATGGAAACAAGCACTCACTTTGAAAGTTGAGTCATGGGGATTCTGCTGTGACCATCAGAATAAAACAGAAGGGCTGGTCTGTATTCTTGGATGGCCTTGAGCATCAGTTTCCTCAGCGTGTCTGTTGGGGATTGGGCACAGGGTGGCGGCGACTGGCTGTTCCAGGTCTGTGGTTGCAAGTGTTGGTAATAGCGGTACCCCAGGATTGCTGTGGGATTATGTATGAGCTGTTTGACTTAGTGTTTCATTGCCATTTCTCCATATTTCAAGATTCTGAAGTTTCATTGGATTCTGACTTCTCTGGAAGTCTGTCTTGAATACGAGGTATTTTTACATTCGATCCTTTGTTTTTAGATCTCAACCAGAAACACAATAAATTCATTTTTTTCTCAATATAAAAAATTCAGAAGGCAAGGTGGATCTCTGACTGCCTTTCTTCTGGAAGTGATGACAAAGTAGAAATGACAAGTATAGAAATGACAAAGCCAAGACCCAGAGGTGTGACTTACCAGGGATCAGAGGATATGAGAGACAGTATGAAACTCAAACAAACACGCATTGATGCATGTACACATTTTAGCACATGCTTAAAATAAACAAAAATAAGCTGTATTCCTACCTTAAAAGAGAACCTCACACACTGTTTTTACTGTTGTGGTTACTTTCAGCATTGCCAGCCTCGCGTGGTGACCGAGTCACATGGCTGGTGTGCAGCCAAGCTATGATCCCTTGCTTTGGGGCATGTTGGGATTTCTTGCTGTGGTTGACAGTGGCCTTCAAGTCTGTGCACGCTATTGCCTATATAAAGATGAAACTTCTCAGTCACCCTTGATATGACCTCCATCCAACAACAAGGGGGTTGTTAATGATGATTGTGTGTGTCCTTCCCCCTCCTTCTTTCCACCCACTGACAGGACCACCCACACTTAGAACACCCAATGCTTGCAGGGCAGTCCTTGAGATTAAACCAAATAGCTGTTGGCAGCTTACCTCTAAAGAGGGAGTGAGGGGTGGAGGCAAGAAACTATCCCGCTCCTCTGGGGTTTTTCATCAGAAAGGCATTTGTGCCTTTTGGTAGGAAAATAATCGTGGAGAAGGTGCCCCAGCCCAGCCAGCAAGCTGGTATTGTATTGTGTGCCATCACTGTGCTAGTCACTGGATACTCAAGGACAAAGAAAACACAGTCCCCTTCCTACATTCTTCCTAAACAGTGCTCTAATAAATTACCACCACGTCTCTTCTCTTTGAAGCCAAGGGTAGGAGTTTATAAGGTCAAAGGAAATGAATGGCAGCCAGGCGGATATAAAGGGCAGTTGTGGATGGAGCTCTGCAGTCTTTGCTGATGTTTTCTTGGTTTGCCTGTGGTTGAAATAATAAAAGAGTGATACTTCTCCATATTGGTAGAATAGCCATAGCCTGTGAAAAAGCAGATCTGGTGTCCTAATAGTTATGGTTTAAATGGTACACCAAAAATTGCTTAGAAATTTCTCAGTTTTCAGAGACTGAAAGTCTCAGTCTCACTCTATGACAAATAGAAGAGTTTTTCTACTTTACAAAGTAAGGGGTAATTTTATTCTCTATACTCATGGAATCTTAATCAGGATTGGGCCTTAGAGATTGCCCAGCATAACCTGTCATTTTACAAATCAGAAAATGGGACCAAGGGTAAGGGAGTTAAGTGATTTTCTCCAAACACATGGCCGGTTGGGACAAAACTAGGTCCACGCACTGCCCCAGCAAATCTTTACCCCAAGTTCACCCCAAAGGTCACTGAAATTACTTACAAAAAATATTCAGAGGAATATACTGATGATGGGCCCACAATTGGCCTTTAAAGAAATGAGGCACATTTTAGGGTAGAGTCTTTGGAAGGTGACTTCAAGGAGAACAATGAGGCCTGTCAAGTATATGGGTTCAGTGGCCTTCAGACTGATTCCTGGAGCCCCAGGATCTATCACAAATGGACCCTTCCCCACCCCCCACAGAACAGCTCTGCTTTCATTTGTGTTATAGAATGTCCTTCTGAGATTTCTTTTGAAATGAATTAATCTGAAAACTATTATTCTATAAACAGTTCAGCAATGGTACTAAGAATACAATTTTATCATCATCAGAAATAATAGGGTTTGATTTTTTTTGTTTGTATGTTTTTACTTTTAACTCTTACAGACCCAAAAGTATACTTCCCCACTGCCTCCGCCATGGCAAATCTGAGACACCAGGGAGCACTGGGGAGTTAGTTGCCTTCACAGAGGCTTTTCTAGAAAGTTCTCTCCTGTTGAGTTTTCCTCATCCGGCAGGATCTTCAGGCAGATGTCTTCTCCAGATCCTTGGCCGGTGGAAGATCTAAGCAGCCAATGCTCACAGCTCTAGTTTGTTGTGTTATTGCTGTCGGAAGAGTTCTACTTGCTCTCTCATTGTTTACCTTGAATAGTAAATGGAGACATAGCATAGCACCTGTCACATGGTAAACACTGAACAAATACTATGGAATTAAAACTTCACAACCAAAAGGTGTATTTGATTCTGTTTGTTTAAAACCTCATATTCTTGAAACAACCCATCTTACCCTATTAAGGACTGTTAAGAGGGTTAATTTTCATGATGGGGCAGTTTGTTATTTTCTAAGTACATCAGAAGAAAAAGCTTAAAAAAAAGGGTTGTTTTTTTTTTTTAATTAATCAGGAAACAGACTTATGGTTAAATCATTACTCTAATAAAGATATTTTGGTACTGAATTATTTTGAATTTGCTAAGTATCTATACCTCTTTGTTCCTTTTTTCAGAATGCTAGAAGATGACCTTAAGCTAAGTAGTGATGAAGAGGAGAATGAACAGGTAAGATTTTCTTTTATGTTACTGTCTTTTGAATGTGACACAGCATTGCTAACTCGGTGGGTATTAACTGAGTCATACACACTCTAAATTGTGGTGCTCAAGGATGGTGGGTGCCTTCTGATAATTATGAGCTTCCATGCCATTGGGCCAGTCCATTCAACTATCTTAGCCTCAATTTCCCTTAAAACTGTGATACTGTGATTTTTATGTCATTGAAACCAACAATGGGTACTTACGATGAAGCTAACTAGCATTAGACTTCAGTATAAAATAGGCCCTTTTGTCATTTTCTTTTTCATTTATTTTTTTGGCAAAGCTAACAGGTCTTCTAGAGATCAAGCGTGTGACCTAACCTCATCAGCATGCAATAGGCAAGCTGTAATATTAAATATTGAGAAACCTTATACAGATATTATGAACATTGAGAAGAAGCAAATGTGGAGGTGAACTTCAATGATGAATAAAAAATAATCATGCTCTGAATAGGCTGTTTGTCTTAGATGATAAATGTGCTTAAAATGTTCTTCCCTGGTGTTGATTTACCAGCTCGAGACATCAGTCAGGGGTTTATAAATACTCTTCTGATCAGTCAGTTAAGGTGGAAAAATATCCACGTAACATTCACTACTTTCACTTCTGCGTTTCAGGAAATGTTTGTATTTTTTAAAGTAAGCTTTAAAACACAAAAGATAGATTTTCCTACACTTCTGTTTCCTTCTTATTATCCATGTGGTATTTTGTTAAATTTGGACAAATGTGGTAGGTATAAAAACAATCCAGAGAGTTTTTTTCAGAGGTTATTTTTACATGTGATTTAAGACTGGGTGCAATTGATCTTGAAATAGTGAATTTTTATGAAGGTGTCATGGTGTGCTATACGGGTGATTCAGCTGTCTAACCATGCAAATGGAAATAATGTACAAAGAGAGTGTGCAGAGGTGAAATAAAATTCAAAAGAACATTTCCAGGAAGAGCATCTAAGCAGAATGTGGCTGTGAGGTCACAGAGTTTGCTCACCTTGAAGAAGAAAGTGAGGCACCAAAGAGGGGCCTGGGTGTGAAGTAGAACTTGAATTGAAACTAGAGTGGCAAGTGGAGAAAACCCCAAGTGAAGGAAGGTTAATTGAGCAAGGTGAGCTGCTAGTGTTTGGGTTTTGTAGACAGTGACTACCTTGTTTCTAGTGTGCATACCAGGAGAGTCAGGTATCTGTAACGTGGCAATCTTGGCAGAACTGAGAATGACTTCACTCCTAATTTTGGTTCCTCATCTATGTGACTATTACCTAATGATTTCATCTTATCATGTTTTTTTTTCCCAGCGAGAGTTTCAGATAGGTACATTGTGGATTAAGTAATATCAGATGTGTAGATTATGTATACTTTATATTAGAAAGGGATTCACAGAGTATTGCATTCAGCAAGCTTTCTTAATTTGGAAAGAATTTTCCAGAGTTATTTCCAGGAAATATTTCCACTGGAAACTCGATTTTAAAAAAATTATTTATCAAGGATATACCAGACACATTCTGTAAGGCAGTAGAAAGTTTTCATTGAATCATTTTGCTTTATTAGCTACTCCTTTCTAATCTGTAGCCATTGATAGTATTATATTGTGAATATATAGGTTAGATCATTTATTCTTATATTTGGTGCCTGTGTGTGTACACTTTTTCTCGTTTGCAGTGAAAACGGCTGGCAGAATGAATGATTTTTATACAGTAGTGTAATTAAGACTCCAGACAGCAGTTTTGTATGTGGTAGTTTAAGTGATTGCTCTAACACTAATTATATTAAGTTATCTTGCTTTGGCCTATAATTATAGCCTGCCCTAATCACAAAATCATAATTTCCATGCTTTAGAGAAGACTAATGATATGGTATTATTTTCCTCCAAGACCAAAATATGATTGTGCCCCTAAAGACTAGAGCCTGTGCACACATGCAACACGCATACACACACTGCATTTCTCTGGCATTGGGAGATAATTAAACATTTAACATAAATGCTCTTGTGAGATGTAATCAGAGTTTGTCCCTTAACCCAAAATCTTTCAAAAATGTATGGTACATTTCCCTGCCTCAATAAATGCAGTATACTAACCTCCTTAGCCTTCTCTTACATGATATCTGCTTGTCCTTGTGAATATTGGTCACTTGCTGTGACAAAGAGATACCCACAAGACCTTCAACTTGCAATGCCGGTTTACCCTTCCTAAAGTCACCTCAGACTCACATGCATTTGAGTACTCTATCTAATGCTTCCTTTATCCTCATTGCCTCTGTGTTCTCAAAAATGAAGACACAGGCTAGTTTAGTGAGTAAGCCCGGACTGAGCAGCCCTGCTCCCTGGGTTCAAATCTCTGCTAGTGATTCAGTAGCTTTGCAGCCTCAGCCCAGCCCCTAAACTGTTCTCTGCTCCAGGGTCACCATTTGTAAAGTGGGAATTAGTGTTAGATCCCCAAAGCCTGCCGCTTCCTCAGGACTTGTGCTCTACCTGTTATCTTCACATCACCAGATCCACTAAGCTTTTGGTGTTTTGCATTTTAGTCAACTTACAATTGAATATACCATACATAGAGAAAAGTACACATAATCTAAGAATACAATGTGATGAATATTCATAAACCACACAAACCCATGTATTCAGCACCCAGATCAAGATACAGACATGACCAGCCTCTCAGGTCTCCCATGTCCCTGTCCAGTCACCACCCTCCAGAAGAATAAGCACTCCTCTGTTTTTCTAATACCCAGAGGGTAATTTTGCTTCATTTTGAAATTTATATCAACGGAAACCTACAGATTCGTTGTATCCGTTGTATCCGTTGTAACAACGGAATCTGTTGTTTCTAGCTTCTTTCACTCAGCATTATGTTTGTGAGACTCATCCATGTTGCGTGTACTTGAAATTTGTTCATTTTCATTACTCATATTTCTTCATTTGCATATAGCCTAATTTACTTACCCATTCTACTACTGATGGGCATGAAGATATTTGAGGCTATTAAAATAGTGCTGTTGTTAACATTCTTGTACGGGTCTTTTGGTGAGCATATAGGAACATTTTTGTTAGGTCTACACCCAAGAGTAGAAATGCAGGGCCATGCCGTATGTGCGTGCACAAGATGAATTATATCATCCCAAACCATCTTCCAAAGTGGTTTCACCAGTTGGCATTCCCATGAGGAGTATAAGAGAATTGCAGTTGCTCCTCATCCTCACCACGTTTCTCTTTCAGGGTCATGAGCAGTGTTCTGAAGGTGTCTATTTTTGTATTGTCTTTGTCTGGTTTTGAAATAAGGACAGTACTGACTTATAAAATGAATTGAATAGTGTTCCCTGTACTTGTTTTTTTTTTTTTCCTGAAGAAATTATATAAAAGTAATGCTAATTTTTCTTTAAATGTTTGTCAGATTTCTCCAGTGAAACCACATGGGCCTGGAGATTTTTAACAGTTAAAAATTCTGTTTTCTGAATAGTTAAAGAGCTATTTGGACTACTTCACATTGGGTAGGTTATGGCACTATGTGCTCTTTAAGTAATTGGTTTATCATGTCATTTAAGTTGTCACATTTACATGTAAAAAGTTCTTTTATTGTCCCTTTAATGTCTGGGTCTATAGTGATATCCCATTTTATTCTTGATACTTATCTTATTTTTGTCTTTGTCAGTCTTGCTAGAAGTTTTTCAATGTCATTGATCTTTTCAAAAAAAAGTTTTTCATTTTATTGATATTTGCTGTCAACTTTACTGTTTTCAGTTTCATTGATATCTTGTCTTCATTATTTCCCTCCTTCTGTTGTTTTGAGTTCATTGTGCTCTTCTTTTTCTAGTTTCTTGAGGGAGCTTAGATTACTGATTTGAGACTTCCTCGTTTATAATATGAGAATTTAACACTATACATTTCCCTCTCAGCACGTTGTTGCTGCATCCCACAGATTTTGATATGTTGTATTTTCATTGTGGCTTCTTTCACTCAGCATTATGTTTGTGAGACTCAACCATGTTGCATGTAATTGAACACTTCAGTTCAGTGAGACTTCCCCTTTGATGCATGAATTGTTTAGAAGTGGGTTGTTTTCATTTCCAAATGTTTGGAGATTTCTTGTAGTCTTACTTTTATTGATTTCTAGTTTGGTTCCACTGTGGTCAAAGAACACATTTGCTATGATTTCAGTTCTTGTGAATTTACTGAGTATTTTCTATGGCCCAAGATATGGTCTGCATTGGTATATGTTTTATGGGCACTTGAAAGAATGTGTATGCTGCTGCTGTTGGGTGGAATGTTCTATAAATGTCAGTTAGATCCTGTTCGTTGATGCTGTTGTGGAGTTCTTCTAGATCCTTGCTGACTTTCTCTCTAGTTGCTTTATCAGTTGTTGGGAGAGGAGTGTTGACATCTCCAACTATAATTGTGGATTTGTCTATTGCCCCTTCCCATTCTATCAGTTTTTGCTTCACATATTTTACAGCTCTGTTATTTGGTTCATAACATTTAGGATTGCTATGTCTTCTTCGTAGATTGACCTCTTATCATTAGGTAATGTTCCACTCTCTCTAGTAATTTTCTTTTCTTTGCTCGGAAGTCTGCTTTATCTGACACTGATATAGCCACTGCTGCATTCTTTTGATTAATGTTTGCATAATATAACTTTTTCCATTCTTTTACCTTCAACCCACCTATGTTGTTGTATTTGAAGTGAGTTTCTTACAGTGTATTATTGTCATATCTTTTATTTTGCCAATCTCTGTCTTTTAATTGATGTATTTAGAACATTTGCATTACTGGTATATTATGGCTTAAGTCTATTGCTTTATTTTTTCCTTTTCTGTCACTTTCCTTTTATTTCTGTTTTCATCTTTCCATTTTCTTTTTACTGACTTCCTATAGGTTTCTTGAACATTCTCCAGAATTCTGTCTTTATTTATCTATAGTATTTTTAGTGTATCTCTTTGTATTGCTTTTTTAGTGGCTCTTCTAGGGATTATATTTTGTGTGTG